CGCGGCCCTGCTGGCTGGGAGCCGCTCATGGTAAGCCCCTCCTGCCCCAACCCTGCTCCCCCCCAAAGCCAGAGCCCCCTCCTGCACGCCAAAGCTCTCCTCCTCAGCCCCACCCTGGAGCCCACCCTCTAGTCAAATTATGTTGGGTCGCGGCTATCAAGAATTTTCTTCAGCTGGGTCATGAGAATAGAAGTTTGAAAACCGCTGGGTTAGAAAATATGACTTACTGCAATAGACTCAAGCAGCTCTGTCTATTAAGCGTACCAGCAACAAGATTAAAGGGGGCCTTGCTCATAGTCTATAGGTACCGGCACAGGGAACAAATATTACATAAGAACATAAGAACGGCCATACTGGGTCAGACCAAAGGTCCATCTAGCCCAGTATCCTGTCTGCCGACAATGGCCAGCACCAGGTGCCCCAGAGAGGGTGGACCAAAGACAATGATCAAGCGATTTGTCTCCTGCCATCCCTCTCCAGCCTCTGACAAACAGAGGCCAAGGACACCATTTTATCCCCTGGCTAATAGCCTTTTATGGACCTAACCTCCATGAATTTATCCAGCTTCTCTTTAAACTCTATTATAGTCCTAGCCTTCACAGCCTCCTCTGGCAAGGAGTTCCACAGGTTGACTACACGCTGTGTGAAGAAGAACTTTCACACTATTTAATAACAAGCTCATACATTTCTCTTCAAACTGAAAACACGATCCAACGGCTTTAAAATTCAGACTGGAGATCAGCTGTGCGTTTTTAACAGTGAAAGTAATCATAGAATCTTAGAACACTAGGACTGGAAGGGACCTCGAGAGGTCATTGAGTCCAGTCCCCTGCCCTCGTGGCAGGACCAAATACTGTCTAGACCATCCCTGATAGACATTTATCTAACCTACTCTTAAATATCTCCAGAGATGGAGATTCCGCAACCTCCCTGGGCAATTTATTCCAGTGTTTAACCACCCTGACAGTTAGGAACTTTTTCCTAATGTCCAACCTAAACCTCCCTTGCTGCAGTTTAAGCCCATTGCTTCTTGTTCTATCCTCAGAGGCCAAGGAGAACAAGTTTTCTCCCTCCTCTTTATGACACCCTTTTAGATATCTGAAAACTGCTATCATGTCCCCCCTCAATCTTCTCTTTTCTAAACTAAACACATTTCTTTCAGCCTTCCTTTATAGGTCATGTTCTCTAGACCTTTAATCATTCTCAGTGCTCTTCTCTGCACCCTCTTCAATTTTTCCACATCTTTCTTGAAATGCGGTGCCCAGAACTGGACACAATACTCCAACTGAGGCCTAACCAGCGCAGAGTAGAGCGGAAGAATGATTTCTCATTTCTTGCTCACAACATACCTGTTACTGCATCCCAGAATCCATCACACTGATTTATGTGACTCATATTCAACTTGTGGTCCCTAACCCCTAGATCCCTTTCTGCCGTACTCCTTCCCAGACAGTCGCTTCCCATTCTGTATGTGTGAAACTGATTGTTCCTTCCTAAGTCGAGCACTTTGCATTTGTCTTTATTAAACTTCATCCTATTTACTTCAGACCATTTCTCCAATTTGTCCAGGTCATTTTGAATTATGACCCTATCCTGCAGATTAGTCGCAACCCCTCCCAGCTTGGTATCATCTGCAAATGTAATAAGCGTACTTTCTATGCCAATATCTAAATCGCTGATGAAGATATTGAACAGAGACGGTCCCAAAACAGACCCCTGCGGAACCCCACTTGTTATGCCTTTCCAGCAGGATTGTGAACCATTAATAACTACTCTCTGAGTACATTTATCCAGCCAGTTATGCACCTACCTTATAGTAACCCCATCTAAGTTGTATTTACCTAGTTTATTGATAGGTAAAATGAACCATGGGAACAATTTACCAAGGGTTGTGGTGGATTCTCCACTGGGGACAATTTTCAAAAGAAGGCTGGGTGGCTTTCTGAAAGCTCGGCTCCAGGGATTATATTGCGGGGCATTCTGTGGCTCGTGTTATACAGGAGGGCAGACCCAGATGATCACAGTGGCCTCTTCTGGCCTTGGAATCTATGAGAACACTTCCAGTGCATCACAGAAGTTAGAGGCTAGAAAGGCTGCTTGGATCACTTATCTCATCTCCCTGCCAGCGTGCCCTGTCTTAATAGCTCATTGTCTTTTCACAAAAAAAAGACTTTTCTTCGCAGCTTTATAAATCTGATGTGCACTCAATTCCCTTTTTCTTTTTTTGCTTATTTTAATACAGATTAAAGATGCCGTGGCTCTGTGTGAGCTCTTTAACTGGCTAGAGAAAGAGGTAGAGTATGAATTTCTTGTGTTTTGAACTTGGGTAATTTTTTTTTCATTTGCATGCGCTTTTCAATGCTGTGGAATTTCTTTTGAGTAGGAGAGGGAAGGAAAAGTGCCCGTTTTTATTTGGTTGATTTTGAGGCTATGGTTTTGAGTCTGGTTTCCATCTAAAGTGGAATGAGAATTTGAATCATGCTCAAAAGGCAGATCAGGCAAATTTGCCTGAGTGGGTGAGGAAGGGCTAATAAAGGAGGTATTATTTTCCTGCTGCCTTTGGTGTAGTAGATGGCAGAAGAGTGTTGCATGATACAGTGCGGTGTTTCAGGGATGTTCTCGAGGTAAGCAGTGTTGCCCAGTGGTTATGGCAGTTTGACGCCTAAGCCCAAGGTCACAGTTTCGAGAGAGTGGAGGGGGGACAGTAGCCCTGCGCCCCAGGTTGTGGCTTGCTTTTCTCCCCGTTCCCCTGATGTTAAGGGAGCGAGGGGAAAGTACTTGCATTCTATGAATTACTCCTCTGCCCCCTCCCTTGACCAGCCAGGAGTGAGAGGCATGCACAGAATCCAAGTACTTTCCCTTTGCTCCCTTATCGACAAGGGTCTGTGAAGAAAAACAAACAGCTACCCCTCCTCTCCCGTACCCGCTGCTGTCTTGAAACTCCATCCTTGCCTAAGCCACACTGATGTAACCTGTTTGGGTGCCTTCATGAGTTCCACCGGATGCCTCCCACATCCCACTGTAAACCTGGCCTTAGGCCACATGACCAGTGTCCTGTACTGCCATTCACCCATGGTATGAGCTTCGGCAGATCTACTGCAGCTGTGTCTCCATTGCCCTACTCCCCTCGCTAAAATGGTTAACATTATTTTTTGTGTAGTGTTTTGAGATCTGTGGCTTAGAGCACTCTCTGAGCACGGGTAGCTTTTAGAAGTATAATGGGTTTAATTATATTTCCATAAGTGCATTAGTGCCTTAGATGCTACCGCAAATTGGCATTAGCGCTAAAGCCACAGATGATTGAAATGGAAAGCACTGGTTACATCCAGTTTGATTTTTTACCATTTATTCTAAACGGGTGCTTTTCCATGTCGCGCCTGATCCTCGAAACAGCTGCTGCAGTGGGTGACATAACTTCTCTGGGCAGCTTTGTTGAGGTCAGGACATACTGCAGTGGCTGCTTGCACCACAGCAGCCCTGAAACACTGATGTTGCATTGGTCTGTTTCATGGCCCACTTGGCACAATGCCTCTCCATCACGGGAGGAGGGTCCATGAAATCAAACCCAACACACCTCTCTTCAGAGTAGGTGGTGTAAAGGCTAAGGGGAAAGTCTCTTTCATCGTTGGCTTGCTTCCTTTGTAGGGCTGCCAGGTGTCCAGTTTTGGCCCGCACAGTCTGTTATTTCTGTCCCCTGTCCAGAAAATACTGGACATGTAAATTTTTTTTTTGCTCAACCAAGTTTTTTTCCTGCCATGTTTGGGATTTTTGGTGAAAGCGTCTGGCAAGGCTATTGCTTCGGTTGATCTGAGGAAGTGGGTCTGACTCACGAGAGCTCATCATCTAATAAACCATCTTGTTAGTGTTTAAAGTGCTACATAGTCCTGCATTTTGCTTCAGCTACACCAGACTAACACGGCTACATTTCTATTACTATTCCTTCGGTAGGTGACTTGATAACTTTTCCCTCTTCTCGTCCCTTAGGTTCCAAAGGGATCTGTTACTGAAATCTCAGCTTCAGACAAAGCAGAGGAGTTTCGCAGGTAAAACAGCAACAACAACAAAAACAAACAAACAAAACAAAACAAACAACAACAAAACAAAAAAACCCAAAACTGCAGTCAGGGCGTTTTTCTGGGTGGTTTTCTGATTCTTTGTTAATTTCCCCTTTTCCTGGTACATGTTGTCCAAGGCCAAGCAGCTTTCAGATGGTTTGATTTGGGCACTAGTAAAAGAGGTTTTGTGGCCACTGGGTTAGGATCTTGCAGGGGAGCAACTCCTGACTTTCCTTGCCTTCTTCTGCTGCTGGTTATTGACTTCTCCCTTAGCCAAGCAGGGGGAGAGAAAGATAGCAGGACTCAGCCAGTTGGGACATTACGGCTGAACTTGCTTGGCTCCTGTCTAGCAGTAGAACAACCTCTAAGCAGATGGCTGCGGGACTGAACTGATCTGTCTGGGGAGGGGAAAGGTTTTGGGTGAGGTGAAATGGAGGCGGGGAGGAGGTTTGGGAGCTGGCTGGAGACTGTTTTATTATCTGAGCGGTGCTGGTGACGTGCACTGGCTCCAGCTCAGGTCTCACTCATGGTCTTTCCTTTCAGCCAACAGAAGGATTTTATCGACTTGAGCTTTGCTACCATTTCAAGCACGGGCCCGAACGGCGCCATCATCCACTACAAGTAAGAGAAGCGCAGCCCCTCGGCTCTTCAGCAAACACACTTGCAGTAGCTGGCATGGCTTCCCCATGGAGCAGTAGCCAGGTTGGGAAGAGCTGGCGTTGTTTGGTCCAGGCAAGGAAAAAGACATCCCTGTCGCTCGCCTACTGGCTTGACGTTGGCAAAGCTTCCTTCCCCAGGGATCCCAGTGCACTTCTGGAGATGCTGATGCTTAGATGCCAGTGTTGAACCAGGGATTCCTGGCCAGCAGGGGACCATCCCAGGTGGTGGCTGGCTCAGCCAATACAATGGGCCCCACTCCTGTTCCGAGGAAAATCCAGAGCATCCCGCCTGTACCCAATTGAGGGCTCAATTTAAGCAACCCCACCCTTTCCTTTTTGAAGGCTCATGGTGTAGAATCATAGAACACTAGAACTGGAAAGGACCCTGAGAAGTCATCCAGTCCAGTCCCTTGCCCTCATGGCAGGACCAAGCATTATCTAGATCATCCCTGACAGGTGTCTGTCCAACCTGCTCTTAAATATCTCCCATGATGGAGATCCACAACCTCCCTAGACAATTTATTCCAGTGTTTAAGCACCTGGACGTTAGGAGAAACTCCCTGCCAAGCCTAAGCCTCCCTTGCTGTAATTTAAGCCCATTGTTCTTATCTTATCATCAGAGGTCAAGGAGAATTTTTTTTCCCTTTTCTCCCTGTAGCACCCTTTTAGGTACTTGAAAACCGCTATCATGTCCCCTCTCAGTCTTCTCTTTTCCAAACGAAACAAGCCCAGTTTTCCCTTATAGGTCATGTCTTCTAGACCTTGAATCATTTTTGTTGTTCTTCTCTGGACCTATCCTTATCCACAGGGCTCAGGAAGGAACCTGGTCAATTTAAGAACCTTCCCTTTCCCTCAGAGCTCCGGATGTTTAGGGCACACACGGAAGAAGCAAATCTCTTATGCTCACAACTCCCATATACAACAAATGTCACCTGGTGGCCAGGTAGGGCTTCCCGGCATTGCCTCCTTCCCAAGCAAGTTGTTTACATTTTATCTTTCATGCCCCAGGGCGACTTAGTTGTGACCTTTTCTGCTCGTGCAGATGGTCAGCGTTCAAACACCGGTCAGAGCTTGTCTGGCACTGGATTGAGTCTCTTTCTCTAGCCTCCTTTGTTTCCCAGCATCTGGGGGTCTCTACTGTTTTGCCTTGGTGGTTATAGCTCTCTGAGGCGGGTTCACCTTATTAGCAGCAGAATATTCCTTGTGTCAGTGGGGAACTCCCTGAGTTTCACCCAAGGCTGGTTTACTTTGGGGAAGGGGAAAGGTTTGATCAGGTCTCAGGCCTGTATTCCAATGTTGGAAGTGGAGGTGAAGGCCATGGATAATGTAACCCGTGGCATGGATCCATGGTGATGGCCATGCAGGGGCAATGACAGTTCCACCCTAGCATCCGCCAGACCCGGGTCTCCAGAGTTGTTTCTGAGCGGAAGGTGAGTTGGCCACTCTGGGCTGCCTTCTCGGGTGGCTGGTTTGGATTCTTGGTGCTGTGAGGAAAGGGCTAGTTATTTTGCAGACTCAGGTGGCTCCTGATGAGAGACAGAGAAGACGGTAGGTGTGTGTTTGGGGGGGGGGGGGAAGGGCTAGGGAATGGGTCCTGAAGAGGGAGAGGAAACTATGCAGTAATGAGGCCAGGTTGCAGGTTGAAGAGTGGGCAAGGAGGAGCCTGTGCCATTCGCTAGGTGGAATATGCTCCTCTCCGCATCTCATGGCTCAGTCATTGTGCAAATCCCATTGGCCAGAGGGAGCTGCCTGATCTAAACTTGCCCGTGATGTTGTCCTTCAGCAGCTGCATTGGGCCAGAGATGTTACAATTGCAGAACAAACATTTTTTTCCATTTAATTGAATAGGCCAGTTCCTGAGACCAACAGGACTTTGTCGGTGAATGAGATCTACCTGCTGGATTCTGGAGCTCAGTACAAGTAAGTGGAGGAGGGCGGCCGTCACTCTTATTTCAGTTGGGATCACGACACTTTGAGCGTGTAATCTGCAGGGCGGGACTTGGCGTTGGTGGATGTGACGATGTGTCATTTTGAATGAAACCCTGTAATGCCGGCCCTGGCTCCCGATTCCTGAGGGTGGTGGCAGTTGATGGGAGATTGCACAATAGTGATTAAAAACAAAATCATTTCTAGGTCACCCTTTTGACTTGAGCCAGGGTCGTGGGGCCATGAAAAGAATCCGCCGCTTTGCTGGCATTTGCATAAGAGCAAAGGATTGAACGGGCAGTTATTGTTAATAGGGTTCACTGGTGTGATGCTTACAGACCAGTTTGTCATCAGGTAGCTGCCCCGGGCATTGCCTCAGGACAGGGCCCGGTGCGGCAGTTGCTCGGGGCGCTGCCTCGGGGCAGGGCCCGGTGCGGCAGTTGCTCGGGGCGCTGCCTCGGGGCAGGGCCCGGTGCGGCAGTTGCTCGGGGCGCTGCCTCGGGGCAGGGCCCGGTGCGGCAGTTGCTCGGGGCGCTGCCTCGGGGCAGGGCCCGGTGCGGCAGTTGCTCGGGGCGCTGCCTCGGGGCAGGGCCCGGTGCGGCAGTTGCTCGGGGCGCTGCCTCGGGGCAGGGCCCGGTGCGGCAGTTCTTCTCTCCAGGGAGGCTCTGCCGGGCTGCGATCCCACTCCGTTCCTGGCTTCTCTCCTTCGTAGCCAGTCGCACCCCCATGAACTCTCCCCTTTCCAGCCCCTCCCTGCAGCCCAGATGTCACTACGGGCAGGGCCGATGGTGCTCACCACAGCTTGTCAACCCTTCCCAGCCCGGGTGGGATTTGAATGCCCCATTCCAGGAATGTACAAAGAGGGATTGTACAATGCCCGGAGGCTCTGGCAGTAGAAAGGCTAGGTGGTGCCATTCAGGCTGGCTGGCGTGCTGGATGCTTACCAGTTCTGATTAACCGGGGCAGGGCTAGAGTGGCTTCCCATCCACCGCGGACCGGAGCTGCTCCGGGCGTCCAGCCCAGCATCTGTCCACGGTGGGCTCAGGTGCGTCACAGGCATGGGTCTTTAATGGACCACTCCAGCCCAGCCTCCCTTAAGTGATTAACCAGCTCAATGTAAAGTAAACATCATATTTAACCAGTTAGCCAATTACACAGGATTTTTACATCCCTAGTCACGACTGAGCTTTGATTCTCCCCTAACCCCAGCGAGGAAGCAGAAGCAGTTACTTCCCCCTGGAGCCTGCAGGGGAAGGGGCAGAATCAAAGCTCTGTTAATTCCCCACCCACGTACATGGGAGGATGGAGTTACAGCTCTGCTGACCTGCTCCTGCACTTCAACCATGCTGCACAGGCTACCTGCATCACTAGTAAGGGCACGTTGGGCAAGAAACCATGGCTTCCACTGTTAAGATGGTGCCCACAGAGGGATGCCATGTCAGGGATGAGGGTACTGTTCACTCTGAAACCTAGTGTGAAGTCATGGTGCCTGAATTCCTGTCTGATCCCTAGAAAGACTTCAGTTGTGAGCTGTATTACCAGGGAAGTCTGTTACCTTGGCTCATGCTGTACTTGTTTGATAGATCAAACTGATAGCCTACAGCTCCGCGTTTGTTACACTAGGACCTTTCACAAGCGCTAACTAAATAGATTAAAGGCATTTTGTTCAGCAAGGGAGCAAGGTGGACTTAATCTGTTCTTTGTGATGAATTGTCTCTTTGGAGCATTGGCTATTGTTAGCGGTCGTTTAGAAAGGGCTTTGAAAAGGAAGCACATGAATATACTTTGATACGATTTTTGCAAGTTCTTTTCCCTCTGGTGGACTAATTAACAATTCCTTTGGTGTCACAGTGAAAAGCAGACGCTTGAATAAAATATGAGTTCAACATCGATGGTATTTAGCACAGTGTTGGGGCAGAGATGTTGAGTTCACCGGAGCTGAGAAGTTAAATCCTGAATGTTTTATGAGCATGACCTCTATGGGCCAGGGTAAAATTTATGCATGCGGACTGACATTTCAAAAGTAACTGGTGATTGGGGGTTGAATGCCAAACTTGAGATGCCTTATGGGGTTTCATTTTCAGAAAGTAGGTCTCTAGCACTTTCTGAAAGATCAGGGTCTTTTGAGGGTCTCAAACTGGGCAGCCTCAGTCATGACTCACTTCTGAGTATTTATCCCGAAGTCAAAGTAAGCCTTAAAACCATTGACATGTCTTTTTGCAGCCGGTAGCTATCATTTATGCATCTGGCTTTTTGAAGAATGCAGTTGTGGATTTTGTAGGTTTCAGTAATCACACTTAAAAACGAATTTATAATTATCCCTTCTCAGCGCAATTGTGCGGCATGCTGTGCATGGGTTGTCCACTCTAGAATTAGCTGCGTTTTAGTGGCACTCTAGCGGTATAATTTGATCAATGCTTTGGGATGAAAGGTAACATTTGAATGTGAATCTGTACCGCTGCATACAGGACATGGTTGTGTTCAGGAGCTCTTAGATACAGCCAGATGTGATCACTATGATTAGCTATAGAAATGTAGCCGTGTTAGTCTGGTGTAGCTGAAACAAAATACAGGACTATGTAGCACTTTAAAGACTAACAAGATGGTTTATTAGGTGATGAGCTTTCGTGGGCCAGACCTACTTCCTCAGATCAAATAGTGGAAGAAAATTGTCACAACCATATATACCAAAGGATACAATTTAAAAAAAATACAGGACTATGCAGCACTTTAAAGACTAACAAGATGGTTTATTAGATGATGAGCTTTCGTGGGCCAGACCCACTTCCTCAGATCAAATAGCGGAAGAAAATTGTCACAACCATATATACCAAAGGATACAATTAAAAAAAAATGAACACATATGAAAAGGGTTAGCTAGTGTGACCTCCTGCATAACTCGGGGTGTAGATTGTCAGCTGCTGACGCCTGCTTTTTGACTGAGTTACTGGAAATGAGAGCACTTGAGCTTCATTATTGGGGAAAGGTGTTTTCTCTCCATTTGAGCTTGCATTCTGAGACTGACTGAGCTCCTGTTTCCAAGGGACGGCACAACAGATGTGACGCGGACAATGCATTTCGGCACCCCCTCGGCATATGAAAAGGTAATTGGACATCTTCTGCTTTGAGAGCAGGCCTACAGTGTTAGAGCTGTTTAAATGATCATTTACTACCACGTGCGTTTTTAACGGACTTTAAAAAAGTAAAACCGATGTATGAAGTAGAAAGCTCCCTAGTAATTACGGAGTCAATGTGGCTCATTTTGTCCCTAGTAGCATCGATGAGGATTCTTAGATTCCGAGTCCAGAAGAGGACCACTGTGATCATATAGCCTGACCTCCTGTAGTCCGTAAGAGTTGCTCAAAACAATTCCTAGTTAGAAAGGAAGCTGTCCGAATTCAGCGCTCCAAAATGTAACCAAAGAAAATACAAAGAATAGCACCTTCCCCCTCGCAGAAGCCACATGTCCCACCAGGAAAAACTACTTTGATGGGTAACTGACCCTGCGATCACAAAGCTCAAATGGTGCGGCTGTGCAGGCAGGGCTTGCCGAACAAAGGAAACGCACTGGTTTCACTTACATGCAACTTTCCCTGCTGGTCTTCCCCTCCTCCGCCCAGCCTGCAGTGCCTTCTGGGGTGCAGAAATTTAGGCTCAGTCTACTTTAGAAAATTAGATCCGTTTAACAGAGGTGTGAAAAATCCACACTCCAGAGCGGCGTAGTGAAGCCGACTTAAGTCCCCATGGGGACGGCTCTAGGTGCACAAATCCTTGGCCTTAGCCAGCCTTCTGTCCTTGATATGCGCTTTCTCTTCCTTCCCCAATTGAACAGCACTCTAAACCCCTCCCTGGAACCCTGAATGTTGCCCCTGGGGGGGGGGGCCTTCCATGGGGCTTGACTAAGATTTCAGGAGCCCGTTAACCCCTTTCTCCCATCCATGGCTTGTCAAGAGGCTCTCATATTGGTTTGAAACTGGAGTACGCTGCTGTAAGCCACTTTTAAACCGATATCAGGAAATTCATACTGGGATTTCAGTGATCTTGACTTTTGATACTGTCCCGTATGACCTTCTCATAAACAAACTAAGGAAATTCAGCTTAGATGGAGCTACCATAAGGTGGGTGAATAACTGGTTGGAAAACCATTCCCAGATAGGGTGGCCAGATGGTTGAAACAAAAATATACTGAACACTCCTCTCCCCCCCCCAAAAAAACACCAGGAAACAATTCTATTGCAGGGGGAAAAAAAAGGGGGGAGACCAAAGTTGTTGAGCGGGGGAAAAAAAAAAGACTCCAAGGACTTAAGCCAATTTTTTTTTTTAAAACAGCATGTGAGTGCAGGGAACAGGGGTTTGTAGGGTTACCAGGTGCCCAGAATTTTTGCCTCCTGTCCGGGGAAAAAATTCAGAGAATACCAGACATCTCAGGTGTCCGGTATTCTCTGAACTTTTTTTACTGGACAGGAGCCGAAAATACCGGGTGAATACCGGACACCTGGCAACCCTATTCCCAGAGAGTAGTTATTAATAGTTCACAGTCATGCTGGAAGGGCATAACGAGTGGGGTCCCACAGAGATCTGGGGTGCAGTTCAATATCTTCATCGATGGGTTAGATAACGGCATGGAGTACGCATATAAAGTGTGCAGGTGATAGCAAGCTGGGAGGGGTTGCAAGTGCTTTGGAGGATAGGATCAAAATTCAAAATGATTCTGGACAAACTTGAGAAATAGTCTGATGAGATTCAATGAGGACAAATGCAATGGACTCTACTCAGGAAGGAACAATCAGTTGTACACATACAAAATGGGAAATGATTACCCAGGAAGAAGTATTGCAGAAAGGGATCTCGGGGTCATAGTGGATTATTCTAGGACGGATTAACACAATTGTGATAAGCAAGACACAAGAAGTAATTCTGCTGCTCTATTTCATGCAGTGTAGGCCTCAGGTGGAGTATTGCGTCCCGTTCTGGGCACCACATTTCAGGAAAGATGTAGGCAAATTGGAAAAAGAGCAACAAAGATTATTATAGGTCTAGAAAATGTGCCCAAGAGGGAAAGTTGAAAGAACTGGGTTTGTTTAGCTTTGCTGGTATTGAAAGAAGAATTGAATCTGCTGGAAAAGAGAAGACTGAGAGGGCACATAATAGTTTTCAGGTACCTAAAAGGTTGTTTCAAAGAGGAGGGAGTAGAATTTTCCTCTTAACCTCTGAGGATGGGATGAGAAGCAATGGGCTTAAATTGCAGCAAGGGAGGTTTAGGTTGGATATTAGGAAAAACTTCCTAGCTGTTTTCAGGGTGGTTAAGCACTGGGATAAATTGCCTAGTGAGGTTGTGGAATTATTGGAGGTATTTAAGAGCAGGTTAGATAAACACCCGTCAGGGATGGTGTAGATGGTGCTTGGTCCTGTAGTGAGTGGAGGGGATGGGACTTGTTGTCCTCTTGAGGTCCCTTCCAGTCCTATGATTCTATGACGTTAAAATCATTGCAATTTTGCATTTATACCAGAACTGTTTGTCTTTCCAAATACTTATAGGAGATCCCCTGTTTTACAAACTGTTTTGTGAACTATTGAGGCATTCATATAATCAAAAAGTTCAATAAAATAGAAGATCTTAAAATGACAGTGGGTATGGTACATAAATTGCCATATGGGTGCAATGCATCACTTTCTTCTTGACTTTCAAACCACTGGAAGGCTATTTCCGATGCACGGAAGGCATAGGACCGTGAAGGGCTGGCTACTTGTTCTTTGACATCATTTCTGTTATGAGTGGTTTTTTTTTTAGTCTGCTGTTGGGAATTTTTTTTTCGTATAACTGGTTGTTCGTAAGGACAGGTGTTTTTTTTTTTGGTCTGCTGTTGGGAAATTTTTTTTCGTATAACTGGTTGTTCGTAAGGACAGGTGTCCACCGGCACTCGCTGGAACCCGTTTGGGAGGATTCAGTCCAGTCATTATTAATTCTCTTGCTCTGAATTGTTGTGCTCATGCTTTGCTTTAGGAGCACCTACTTTATGGAGCCTAGCAGAGCTTCTGTAATGCTCTGAGGGCCACACATTGCAGCCCTCTTTTCAGAGGGAGGAAGGAGGTTGCTTTTTATCTTCACGTTCCTCACAGGGTGCTTTTCGTTGTCAGGAATGCTTCACCTACGTCCTGAAGGGCCATATAGCTGTGAGTGCCGCCATCTTCCCTAACGGAACCAAAGGTTGGTGGCTTCGTTTGTCTCACTTAGTTCTGCAGCTGCTGGTTGTTCGGCGTTACCTGTTGCCTGAGCTGCGGCCTTCCTACTAAGATTTTCCATCCGTGAACGGAGTGTGAGTTTTGTCTTGTGCACCAGTATTGACATCATGTGCACAGCCTCACCATGGCCCGGCTCCAGCTGTGGCATATGGGGCATCCCCCCCCACCATGCAGCCTGGACCGCCGGGGACTCTTCCCCAGGACACTCGCTCCAGCCTGGGACACCCACACACCACCTGGGCTGTGTGATGGCTGTACCCGGTCGGGACTGTGGTGCTGTTTTTAGCACTGCCGCCCTGGCCCAGGAGCAGCTGCACCGTGGCCCTGGCAGCAGTCCCGGAACACAGGTCAACCACCTGCCATGCGGCCCCACCTACTATTTTTAGTACTGCCCCTTCCCAGAAGTAGTTGGGGCTGTGGCTATGTGGTAGCTACTAGGGCCGGGACCATAGCTGGGGCCATGGTGCTATTTTTAGTACGATGGCCTAGGCTCCAGCTTCCAGTTGCGCTGTGGTGGCTTCCCAGCTGTTCTTGGGGTGGGGTAGCCACCCGTCACATGACCCCACCCCTGGGAGTAGCTGTGGCTGTGGCTGTGCAGTTCTGCTGAAGAGGTGGGCGGGACTGAAATTTTTGGTATGCGCCCATGCAGGTTTGCACCTTAGAGTGAGCCCTTCTCAGGTGTGTGGAGAATCGTGACCCTTTCGAAAAATATTATGTTTGACAGTTACAAATATAGTTGGCAGACACAGAAGTCTTGTCTTTAGTTGCATCTCTCTGTGTAACCATTACATTGCATCATATTTATCCAGTTAGCTCGTTTAACTCCATTTGTCAACAAAACTCTTGGAGTTTAGTAAAGGGAGTTTGTATCTCTCTCTAGTTCTACAGGTGTAATATTTTCATTGCTGAGTTGCATGGCAACAAATCATTGGTCACCTAGAACTTTACACTTGTCTGGGGACTGTATATGGGCACAGCCTGAGCAAGCAGAGATCTCAGATCACCTGTGTCAAAGGCAGAGGTGTTCATCTCAAGCTAAAGGAGAATCTCTTTTGGTTGTTAGAAGTATAGGGTGTCTGACACACACAATTTTCTGATTCCATCCAGTAGAGGGCAGCGATGCACACGTGCACACAGCAGCCAGCTCCTTGCAGTGTTGTTCCGTCCTACATAAGATACCCAGCAACGATGTCTCTTTCAGTTGGGCTAGGTTCCATTTATGATGCATGTCAAATACAAGCCAGATTTTCACGTGGATGTTGTCATTGGGCAGTTAAGCCCAGTTCTGGTGCTTTAGGGAACTATTAGGGGTGTTTGTGTGTGCGCGCATGCCAGGGTAAGAGAAGGCCCTTTTATCCTCTTATTCTCACCCCCAGTTTTTTTGCTTCTACTGTACTTGGAGTGACCGCCTCCAAGTCAGGCATTCTCGAGGGGCCATTCAGCCTCTGGAGTTTGAGGGAGAAAGGGGCTGGTGGGGGTTGTGTTTCTGAGAGAGACACGGTTCTGAAAGCCCAGGGGATCGTGAGCCTGGAATTCTGTACTTGAGAAGAGACTTGGCCTGTTACCCAGGACGGTGTTCGTGGTGGTCTCCCCCCCACCCCCTCCCCGAGACATTCTCCAGCAGGCTCTTTATAGTTGCCTGGTCCAGCTCCCCATGGGCTGGCTCCAAAGATCCTTCACAATGAAATTACATCAAATGCAAAAACGATAGCAAAAGTCCTCCGTCATGGTGTTTTTCTGGAGGCAAGGGGTGTTTCTGTCTATCTTCCCCAGACTGGGAAAAGGGCATTCTGCATCACCCGTTTCCTCCCATCATAGATGCTTTCCTGGCAGACAGGCCTTCGGCATAGTCACCTCCGGGTAACGAGAACAGGAAGCGTTTTGTCCTCCCTCCAGAGTTTTTGTCTTAATTGGATGGGTGATTGATAGGCTGGGAGAAGAGGGAAGGCCTTACCTCCCCACCCCCAAAGCTTCTGACCGCAAGCACTTAAAGAAATAGGTCTCTCTTCTCCCCAAGACTCAATCTCCCTCTCCTCCCACATCTGTCTCTGCTGTCCCTCAGGGTCTCTATTTAATGGAGACTCTTCGGAACAGGTAGCCCGGACCTCATGGCTTTTTTCCTTAAAGAGCCACTGTATCCCAGTACAGGTTTGGGGACTTGGTTCTCTTCCATTTACGCTCCAGTGTCCCATGATCAGATCTGCAGGTGTAATAGTCAAAGGACTTTGTCCAGCTGGTTGCCCTCTCAAAATGTCTCTCTCTTTCACTGGCTTGCAGGTCACCTTCTGGATTCCTTTGCCCGCTCTGCGTTGTGGGACTGCGGTTTGGATTACCTGCATGGCACAGGACATGGAGTTGGGTGTTTCCTAAACGTCCATGAGGGCCCATGTGGCATCAGCTACAAAACGTTTGCAGATGAACCTCTGGAAGCTGGCATGATCCTGTCTGATGGTCTGTAGTAGCCGAGATTATATTCTATTCTATTCTGTAGTCCACTGAGGACAGGTGTGTTAACAAGCTGCTTAGGGAGCAAATCTGAAAGACACTGGGTGGTCACTGGGGATAATAATATTTAGTGCAGAAGAGGGGTGAGTGAGACTAAATCATTCAAAAACAACAAGCAGTCCTGTGACACCTTCAGAGAGTTACAAAAATGTATCGAATCATGAACTTTTGTGGGTAAAACCCACTCTCACAAAAGCTCATAGAATACTAGGACTGGAAGGGACCTCGAGAGGTCATCGAGTTCAGTCCCCTGCCCCCATGGCAGGACCATAGTACCTTATGGTTCTATATATTTTTGTTAGTCCCTAAGGCCATGTCTACACTAGGAAACGATTTCAAAATAACTAAATTTGACTTAACTCCCGATTTTACAAAATCATAATAGCTTCTCCCCACTACGGGGAAGCCTCAAAATTAGTCCAAGTCTGGCTCTGTTAATGTGGATGCACTACCTCAACCTAGAACCGCAGGAAGCACTGTGGAGTAATTAGTTCGAATTACTCTGGGGAGTCGTTATTTCGAAATAGTGGCACCGGAGCATCCACACTACTGCTATTTCAAAATAACCTTTTCAAAACAAGCGTTAGTCTTCGAGGAAAGCTGGAGTATAGGTTTTGAAATAAGCCGCCCGTTATTTTGAAATAACGAGCTTTGTAATGTGGACGTTCTGCTTATGAATTCAACTTAAGGAGGGTTATTTCGAAATAAAGCCCTAGTGTGGACCAGGACTCGCGTGCCACGAGATTACTTGCTGGTTTTAAAGTTACAGGCGAACACAGCAACCCCTCTGAGACATTTTAAATCATTCAAATTTGTTCCTTTGAGATCCTTAAATGAGGGGCACTGGGTACAACAGGCACCCCCCTAAAATGGGGTGGGATTTTTTTGGTAACTGGATTAGTAGAGTATTTGCAGAATTCTGGGGACTGAAACAGATGTGACTCACACTTTGTATTCTTCTCTTGAGGTAGAAAGGTGACGGCCTAAGCTGTGAGAACTCAGCCTGTCCCCCGACTTGGGCTGTGCATGCAGATTAGGTGGAATGGGAAATTTGTTCATCTCTCTGGGTGGCAGATATCCAGACTATTTAGCTATGCTAACGCCCCAGTAGGCAACTCACCTGTTGTGATAAGAAAGTGCCCGGCATGGCACGGACTGGCTGATTATTGTCTGTCTCTGCAGAGCCTGGGTATTACGAAGATGGGTCTTTTGGGATCCGAATAGAAAACGTGGTACTCGTGATTCCTGCCAAAACTAAGGTGAGTGACTCCAGAGCATACTCCAGAAGCACCTTATCCCTTCTCCAGGAGCTGGTGGTTGTAAAAACATGAACATCTCGAGAGTTGTGAATGAAAAGTCTGGAACTGGCCACAGGCTTGTGTTGCAGGCTTGGTTCCCACAGGTCTACTTTTCCCACGGGACTGGGTCAGTGCACGTACAAGGACTTTTCTCTCTAATGAAAACCGAGTCTTGGTCTCCTCCTGTAAACAGATATAAGGAGGACAGCATGGTTGCTGCTGTGGTCTGCACAGCTCAGTAGAAAAGTTCAGGTAAGGTTAAAATATGCGTAGGAGAATTCTAAATGTTATCTTTCTGCTCCGGAGATCCAGGGCCA